GCACAAAAAGAGACCGGGCACCGCATCCAGTCAACTCCATGCTGTACCGCCATAATGTACATGTATGTGTCGCAATAAGTGGCTACTTTCCGTCTTAGCGGCCGGCACATCATGGCGATTTTTTTTGTGCCAAATTATAGGTCTTTACGCAGGTTATTATAAACTGGCAGCTTCTACGAAGAAAACCACAGATATTACTTCTGAAGATTATCACAATATTTTTGGTGTTGTTTCTTTATTTTCAAAACGGGTTTACCATACTTGAACGATCTCCACGTTCTGACAGGCGCTTCATATGAACTTGGAAAAGTAGTAATTTTCTCAAATTCTGTCCTTCATATAAATCAAAAGATCGTAAAATATGATTGGTAAACTATTTAAAGACCGAGTATAGTCAACAGTTTGGGCCTTATATCAATATGGACAGTCTGACCATAAAAACAACCGTTCTAGGTGCCCAAGTATGGCACCCTGGGACTGCCGTCATAGCGTGTTTCCTGTGCACTTTTGACGCCGTCGAAACGTGCTGTGTGGCACGCTTACATACCCTATTCATATTGATAAAAAACATTCTTTTTCCTTGTGTTTCCCAAACTATGTCGTTGAACGATTCAACTTTGAGGACCAAATGACCTGATGACATCTGCAGTCTCCAAGCAGATACATGGTGGCATGGGTAGGTAATATTTAAGCAGATACATAGTGGCTTGGCTTTCAAGCAGATATATTGTGGCATGTATCCTGTCAATCTACATGTTTCAACAGCAAAGGCATTGGGAGATTCCATTGCTGCATGGGGGTATAGACTGTTTGAACATGGGTGATTTAGGGACAATCCATTTTTTGGGAAGGGGCCATGTAGGCCTTTCTAGTTTAACTTGTTTTCGTGAGGGCTCGCTAGTTCCTTCGTACGCCGGCTTAATTATGTTCAAGAGGCGCTTACTACTTACTAATTAACTATAAGCTTATCCGATCTATGTGTGCGTTATCGGTCCCTGGCCACATCCGACCACGTGGCAAAACACATTGATTATGAAGCAAAATGTTTGGAAGGAAAATAGTTAGTGGCTTAGAAAATATTTGCCATGCATATGGTTACGGCGAGCTGCATAGAACTCCACAATGGAACGGCCTCCATGTGTACCTCAACATGGCGGCAACCTGCTCGTTGCAGCCCGGCCAGTTGCTATGGTTATGGTCACCTGACTGAATACGCCCTATATATTTTAATCGCTGTTTTAAATGTTACTCTACCTTTTAGAATTGATAAATGTATATATTTTGTCGAAATGTTTCGTCAAAACAAGCCTCGCGATGTAGCCAACACAGCTGCCAGGAAACTTGTTACTGTTCCTATGTCCTTCTTTGATTTATAAAGCAGTCTAAAATATGTGCGTAAACTATACGCTGATAGTCACATTAACTATAGCTTCGGCCTTATATTTCTTAAACAAACGTCACGTTTTTCTTTGTTTTAGAACCTCCATCCTGGTCAGCATCCTCCGAGTGGGGTTCACGTTGCTCAGCTGACCGCGCAGATATCAACACTCGCGAGACTGCTGATGCAGCAGGTGCATGGATAGCAGCAACCAATGACCAGGACCAATGGCTGATGAGGGATCTTGGTGACGTGAGCGTCATCACCGGCGTCATCACCAAAGGCAGGAACTACAGCCCTGATTGGCCACATGGCATACATGACCAATACGTCACATCCTACACCATTTCATACGGCAATGAAAACGGTGATGAGACTTTCTACACCGATGCTGATGGGCAAGTTACTGTAAGAATCATTCCTCCTTTTATTTGAATAGCTATCTACTAAGATATTTGCATGTTAAAATCGTAGTCCTAAATTGAATATGGAAACAGGCAGATACTATAATGTAGCCCATGACTTTGCCCATTTTGTTCAAAGCAAATTTAATATTAATTTTACTTTGTCATGGGATGCTCTATATGAGATGTTTTGCGGCTGCTATTCACATTTATTTATTCTATAACAACTGATTTGAAGAGAATCGATGCTACAGATAGATTTCAATATATCATGATTAGTCTCAATTATATCGATTATAACACCATATCACAGCCTTCTGCTAGCCTTATTGTTTTAGTTATAAGAAAGATAAGTTATAGCATGTAACTTTTTCTATGTTCATTGGTCTGTTTCCTTTTCCAGTATATATGTATATACTTTTTCGTGCGATAAACTTGAACTTCTCAAAGTGTGGCAATGTCTTTATATACTGCAGGTTTTTCCGGCGAATGACGACAGAGACACGGAGGTCTACAACGACTTCGTAGACTTCAGTGGTCGCATAACTGCACGCTTCGTCAAAATCCATCCGCAAACATGGCATGAGCACATCTCCATGCGGGCGAAGATTGTGACAGGTTGGAAACGTAATACTGTCATAGGGGGAGGTAAAATGTTGGGGAAAAATGCAGTTTTTGGAGACCTGAATGTCGACATTTGGTCAAATTTCAAATGTTCTGCCCACCTGTTCACACCGCCTAACATTTGTGTCACTTCAATGCATTAAACTGCGCATAAAGCCATGCTAGAAAAATGCTATAAAGTTAGTATTTTGGCATTCCATGGCAGAACACATGCATCACAATGAATATCTCAAACCTAAAATCTATTGCCAATGTAAATATGGACTATTGCAAAATCACATTGCAAAAATAATTATTACAAAATTACAATATGTGCAAATGGAATATTCTTATTCCGTAGTATACTGCACATATTTGCAAAGAAAATGTATGATTATCATGATCAACAGCAGAAGAAAACTGTTTTTGCTTTGTTTCTTCTTCTTCCAGATGGCTGACCAGGATCTGTGGCAGGCACCCTGTTGGGTTGAATTACATTATGTAGCAAGTGGCAGGACACAGTTGGAGGGGCTTAAGAAAAGGTGTTTGAGTAAGAATAAATAGTTTGCTAGCTTGACCAAGTAAAAATTATGTATTTACCTAGCAAATGTTATTTTATAGTTTATTTTAAGTATGCGTTGTTTCGTTGCTGTGTTTAATTTAGCTGACTCATTGGGTGTTCGTCTTCTTTGCACGTTTACTTCCACCGGGGCACCAAAGTAAAGCCGTCCGTGTCAGTTCATGCTATTGGGCCACAGTGGAGTTTTTATGCGCTTAAACCATGATTTTGCACCAATCAATCAAACTATCTAGACTGTTAACCCTACGAGAATTATATTGTGGCCGATTTATAATCATAACTGTCATAATTGTTCACTGTTAATTTCCTTCTTTCAAGTGTTTGTATTTTGTTTCTGTTTTAAACTCAGCAAGGCATTTTCTGCTTCTAGTATTGATAGATTTAACACTCACAGCTCTGTAAATAAAGTAATGCTAGTTAATCAGTGTACGGTTGTATCTACATGGAGAAATGTATTTTTATTACACTATTCGGATAGACATGCTAATAGTATATCGATATACTCTCGAATTGATTTTTACAGCATTTTAGGGTATAGAAAATGTGAGGAATTCTACTGAATACATCACGAATTTGGCAAAATGTGGCCATCATTTTCCTGAATATAATTAGGACCATGTAGCTTTTTAGTTGGGACAAAGATTTTCGACTTATTTCATATTCATGATGTACCAAGTTACTGATCTCCAAGCAGATCTTTCGGTGGCTGAAAAGACATTGTCAAATTGAGCAGTTCCCATTTCAACACGAAGATCGGTGGCAAAATGGTAAATGTCTTGCCAATGGACACAGTCTGATCAATTCGATACTGTTTTTGCTGGGCCTCGAATATGCTTGGATATTACCTATAACTTGCCTATCACCCTAGTTTACAAGAGAAAGCGTGCTTAAAATGTTGGCTTTCCTTTTCTTGGGACTTGATGTCCGTACAATAATATACTTAGACCCCGCCAAGGGGTCCGTCTGAATAGATTGAATAGATGTGAGAAAATCGAATTTCGCCAGCCTAATAAGGTTTGCTGTGTTTTCTTATTCGATTATGATGTGTGAAAAGATTCGGAAGGTGTTGACGTACCATACTCAATTTTGGTGTAATGGGCAAGTGCAAGTGCTCGCACTGCATTCTTCGGGTCGTGAGTTCGATCCCCAGCCGAGTCATACAAAAGACAAGCGGTACATATTGCTTTTTCTGCTTAGCACTCAGCATTTGGAAAAGAGTACCAGTGAACTGGACCCCTGCTGTAGTGACTACACAAATGTGTTGCCCAAGGGCAACGAAACGGAAATAGGAGCCGCCGCTAATTTCCGTGTCGGAAACGATCGTCGCCTTTTGAAACGGTTGATGCCAGGCTAACTTTAAGTGTATCAGCAGCACTGTCCATTCACCCCGTGTTCCGTGACGTATTTAATCATATAGCCAGTAGCCGTCGACAAATCAGAAGGCTCCCTTTCCCAAGGGTTATAAGGCCATAACCTAAAAAGTGGGCGGTTATTCAGATAACCACCCACTTTTTGGACCGTACCATTATACGGGGGACAGGACACTAACAGTAGTGTTAGGACTTGTAGTATTTAATATATCTATTAAAAAACGCAATGTAATTTATTTTAATTTTTTTTAAATACAGCACAATAACGTTAATGCCCCGCCTTATCCCCGGTGTATAATGGTGAGATGATCCCTGGTCGGGTGCGACCTCGTTTCACTCGGTGGTTTATTCGGTGGTTATTGCAACCGACCAGGGATTATCTCGCCATATACACCTCGCGTCGGGCATTAACCCTTTATTATTTGTTAAATATGAACTATTGAAACAGGAAATATCTACTCGTATACAGAACCGCAAGTTACTTTACAACGAAAATAGTATTTGAACAGCAAATATTCGGTGTCCGTTGGCAAACATGTCCAAATACCCAACAGGCATGGAGCGTTTCAGTGGGTTGTTTACTTCACAAATATGTATGTAATGTAGCCTTACATTTGTAGTGGGGTGCAGCAGAATAAAATCAACATCACGCTTGCACGGATGCAATTGAAGCGGATATTCGGGATGTCACATGAATAAAGCTGCAAGTTGTCGGCAAAAATATGGTGAAGACCGTCCAAGACTTCCTTACAGTAAGTACAAGTAAGTCGACGATTGTGTTATCCCATAGTGGACTAAACAGCCTCTTATCACGTCCTGAAAGATTTAGCTTTTGGGGGTTTTGCGCTCAGTCACGTGGTTCAATTTGTTTGGTGACATTCCCCCTGGTGATGTATTTGAATCTCGGATTTGCCAATGATAGTTCCTACTGCTGTGACTGATGTTTTGAGCAAGCAGGCAAGCAACTACACAGTATTTAATAGCTATACAGTCAAGCTTATGACGGTATTGTCACCGAAATGGATATCGATATGTTAGTATTATTTGGGAAAGGGCAGAAAGGACCTTGTTTATGAATTTATTAGATGCATAACACACACAAAAAAAAAAACACCGTCAAAGCCATGGGGCTAAAAATAATGGTAGATTGCTATAATGGTCAAGCTTAAATCTCCTCGGAAGGCTTAAGGCTTCCTTAGTTTAGGCGGATTCATTTTCGCCTGTTCTCGAAAAAAAATCACATCCTCCAAGGCTCTGGCCTGGCTCTAGGCCTGGGTAGTCCATAGTAGTTAGCGACAATACGGAGCCGGGCACCCAGGCTAGCTACCGATCCATGACTCAAGAACGTGCATATTACGTACAGTGCCGATTCATAAATACAGCAAAAAGCCAGCATGTGCCGGCTTGTCCATACGGCGCCGCTAAGTACTGCCGCAAATTCAAAATACCAGATTTGTATTCGTGGTTTAGTAGCATTTTTATTTTTGGTCGGAATTTTTTTTATTCGCCCGCGCGCACTAGTTAGGGGTTTTCAGAGGATGTCATCCATAAAATTAAGACGGTGTGGCCTTACATTTACAAGTCGTTGACAGACATTCTCACAACTGTTGAGAGGCTTGGCAAAGTGGTGTCCATGAAGCGAGTAACGTTACTTTGTTATCATAATCATTGCTGTAACGGACAACAACTCATGCGTGTGGACAACATTTCAGACAAATAGCTGAAGCAAGACAGCACTGTAAACCCTAGAACGCTTTGGAAATATCTAATAAATGGTTTTTAATAAATGTTTTTTATTGGTCAAACAGTACACAGCCCTTAATTCGGCTGAATTTATGTAGGGTATTACATAATAATCAATAAATAATCACAAACAATCACATGATACACATATTTGCGTCACACATTTTTGTGGAACTGCCGCAAGGGTCTGTGCGGCTGCCATTTGGCGCCACAAGGTGACCTCAATACGGCTTTCCCCAACCGAAGTTAGGTACCCATTCACACCTGGGTGGAGTGAGGAAAGTCGTGTAAACTAAAGTGCCTTTCCCAAGGGCACAACGTCGGGGCGCAGGTTCAGACATGTCCCGGGGACGACTCGGGATCGAAGCCGGGTCTCCCCGTTTCATAGTCGAACGTTCTACTACTACGCCACCCGACGCCAAACATTTATCCATTTGTGCCTATAGAAACTGTTATTGCTAGAGTAAATAGTGGTAGCTAAACGGGGTCGACCATCGGGTACAGTTCCCAGGGTCATACGCAGCCAGCGTAACCGTTAGGCCACGCCGTCTTAATTTTATGAATGACTTCCTCTGAAGACCCCCAAACTAGTGCGCGCGGGCGAATTTAAAAAAAAATTCCGGCCAAAAATATATAAAAATTTATCTAAACCACATGAATATAAAGATGGTATTGTGAATTTACGGCAGTACCTAGCGACGTATACGACAAGCCGGCACATGTTGGCTTTTTGCGGAATTTATGAATCGGCATTGTACGTATGTACTGAGTTCTTGACTCGTGGAGCGTCGGTAGCCTGGGTACCCGCCTCCGTATTGTAGCTTACTACCATGGACTACCCAGGTCTAGAGCCAGGCCAGAGCCTCGGTGGACGTTATTTTTTTTTAGAAAGAACAGGCGAAAATAAATGCGCGCGCGGATGTCATCCATAAAATTAAGATGGTGTGGCCTTAGGCTCGAACTATCAATGAAGTTTGCAAGCGAAATTTTTTCTTACTTGCTCTCTTGTCTTGTGAGAATTTGAGGGCATCGGATGATGAAAAGTAAACTGTGACCAGGTAAGAAAATATTTTGCGTATAACCAATGTTATCCACCTGTAGAGGATTTGAGGAACCGTCTGTTACCTTATGTTTTCATGACGAAACGGACTGGTTCTACTTCGTAGTGCAGTTAGGCCACACCGACTTGGACATCCGCGCGCGCATTGATTTTCGCCTGTTCTCAAAAAGAAAAGAAAAAGAAGATCACATCTTTCGAAGCTCTGGCTTGGCTCTATGCCTAGGTAGTCCATGGTAGTTAGAGCCAGTGGTAACTCTGGAGGGTACCGAAGTTCCACGACTCAAGAACTCAATACATACGTACAGTGCCGATTCATAAATTCGTGGCAAAAAGCCAGCATGTGCTGGCTTGTCGTATACGGCGTTATGTACTGCCGCAAATGCACAATGCCAGCTTTGTATTCCTGTGGTTTAGTAGCATTTTTATATTTGGCCGGAATTTTCTTATTCGCCCGCGCTGACTAGTTTGAGGGTCTTCAGAGGATGTCATCCATAAAATTAAGTCGGTGTGGCCTTAGGTGCGCGACACGCGAGCTATCACCCATAACGGTAAGTAGAAAAGGCCCGCGGAATTATGTCAACAAAGCCCAGCCTAGAAGAGAACGTTGAATCACATCGTTTATTGAAGTAACGTAATAATATGCACGTAACTTCTCTGTGATAATGTTGCGTAATTTTGAAATATCAATCCATTCACCTCACATATATTATACATAATAGAAGTATTTTCTAAATGCCGAAAATAATTCCATCTAGTTGGTAAAAAAAACCCCATAGAATTCATATTTTGGATTTACTTTTTGCACAACTGCCATATCTGAATGTCTATAGTGCATGATGATTTTCTATGAAATGTCCATCAAGAAATCGGTTAGACAATGAGCTAAGCTATTTCTCGCACTAACTCAGCCTGTTTTGCCCTTATTAGCATAGCCGATAAGCTGAGCAACCACCATGTGGTGGAGACATCTACCGGTTCTCTTCGGCACTGCAGGGTTCATCGCCCTCGCCGTGGGCACGGGAACTGCTGTCTGGGCCTCAGCTGACTTTGACGAGTACGGTGACGCCGTGCACGCGAAGGATGAGGTTCTGTACGTCACACGTGGTCTGTGGAGTGTGTGTTATTCAGCGTTTGGACTGACGGAATGTGAACACCTAGAAGCAGGTATGGAACTGATATCAGAACTCCACTTGAATAAGAAGGAAAATTATGACAAAAAAAGGTTAAACGTTCAAGCCAACACTGAATGAATTGGGACTTACCCAAATTTTCGGCCGACTTCGTCAGCCTTGTCCACCACAGAACAGAGACGGGGGGCGACACAGTTTATCTGATACGCACGACCCTCTGCTACAATCACGTGTTTCCGACGTCACGTCCCGGAAGCTGCAGTAGAAGGGTCCATTCCGTGAACAAGGCTGACGGAGGGCAAAAGTTGCTTATATATATAACACCTTCTACTCAAAAACATTAAACGAGTATAAAACACATTGACTAGATACATGCATAGTTACAAGGTAGATAAAACCAAGATAAATACAAACAAGACAAATTGGTGATGTATCGATTACGAGAATCTACCCGTACAGTAAATGAAGTTTTGAACTACATTAAAAACATAACCGCCTGGTGTTCACTGTGAGGAGTTAAGCCATACGGGACAGGTTTTTACCAGAATACTTTCAGTATGGGGAGTTAGCTATGGTGCCATCATATTTATGATGTCAGCTGTTACTATTAATATTGTTGATGTCTGGAATTGTCAGCAGTCCTTTTTAACATATGCATTATATACTTCCCGAAGGCTTGAAAGGCTTGGAATCTCAATTTTTTGTTACTCCCCCCCCCCGTCTTTAGAAAATATCGCAGCCCAGGACCACGCCGTGCGTTTGTTTGTGCTGATTGGTACGTTGTTAGCGGCCGGTGGTCTCGGCTTGGAGTTTTACTACATCCGGAGGCACAAGATGGGCGAGGCCGTGCCTGTTGTTGTGAAATATGTCAGCGGCATCTTTACTATTACTGCAGGTACGAAATGTTCTAAAGGCATTCGATGTAATATCAGGGCGGCAAAAACAAAACAAAACAAAACAAAAAATCTAGATGTTAAAATCTGGGTGATATTGAAAGTTACGCCATTTTGTATAATATTTTGTCATCACTTCATACTTGAAGCGTTTGAAGTAGCGTAGGAAAAAGCCACATAAGGCGTCCCTTTGTTTCAAGGTACCACCCATAATTAGATAGACCCAGCCTACATAACAAAACACTAAAAACAAGTCATTAGCAACCGTTTTCCGTCAGCAACATCGCATTTTTGCCTTACAGATATCAGTATACCATACGATAGCATTGATTCAACTTACTATATGACAAGAATGACCGAAAAATTGACTTTGAAAATCAAGTGCCTTGGAATTGTATTGGATGCCTTGTTAAAATACCCCACATTAGTAAATACATGGCTGTATTACAAGTAATGTAATACAAGTATTACAAGTAATGTAATACAAGTATTCATATATGTTTTACAGAATATAAGCGATTTATTAATGAATAATATACACATTTTAGGAATTCATCTACTCTTAATGTCATCCATATGGCTAATATATTTATTTACTAGATTGGTTTAGGAGTTCAACACACAAAGCAAGAGCAGCCCAACTAGCCTGTGACTATTACAAAGGGCGTGTCCTGCTGATTAGAAAAGACAAGACAAACATGTAGACTAATGAGTAAGAAATTTTAATTACCTCCATGAAATGTGTCATGGAGGTTATATTTTCAGTTGCGTTTATCTGTCCGTCTGTCCGTCTGTTGGTCAACAAGATAACTCAAGAACGCCTGGATGGATTGGTTTCATACTTGGTGTGTTGGTAGGGTGTGACGAAAACTGGAAATGATTAGATTTTGGTCCCCCTAGTGGCTTGCTTTGGTACTGCAGCGCAACTTCCGGTTTTGATATCTCGCGATCTGGACATGCTAGGGTCATGAAATTTGGATGATAGGTAGCTCTCGTGCTTGGGAAGAAGTCACATGCGTTTGGGCCCCCTAGCGGCTTGTTCTGGAACTGCAGGATGGTTTCTTTAAAAATATTCGAGAGAGGATAAGTGAACAACTGTTTGATGGATCGTCATGATTTTTGGTATGTAGGTAGCTGAAATGATGATTGACAGGATTGAAATACAATTATGCAAATCAGGATCTAATTTTCATAATTAATGAGGAAATTCTATAAAACGGCTGTATTCCATATTAGGGCTATGAAACACTCTAGACATATGTAATTGAGAACAACAAGATCATTGGTAGATATTGATTATGTAAATGAAGACCTAATTTGCATAATTAATGGCAAGTTGGTACAATTTTATGGTGGTAACTGCTGTGAATTTAATACTTGCCATACTTGGAAGTTCAATTAAGGCGAACATCACTAAACATAATTTATTTAAATCAGGACCTCATTTGCATAATTTATGAGGAAACGCTAGAATAGCCTTATTTCTTAAGATAACCCTGTCATTGGGCGGAGAATATGATCAAATGATATAATATATGCAAATGGGCTCTTATAATTTGCATATTGGCAGTGAAAAAAATGTATAATTCGTCAGCTTGGATGGCAAACATGAGTTGGCAAAGGTATGTCAAGGTCATACTTGCATATAACCAACAATATCATACGTTGTCCATGTTAAATGGTAAGGATTTCACCAGTGTGTTGTATGTTACTAGGTAGGGGCTATGTGAATAATTTGTATAAAAATTTTGCTAATGAGCAGGCTTGTAAATGTAAGCCATTTATGTGATCATCACTATGCATAAGCTTTACGAAAGCACTAAATATGTCATGGAGGTATGGGATTGTCGAACTCTAGTTTTTTTGTGTTTTTAACCCTAAACAGTACACCTGGGGTCCGCGCGGACCCCAGCACTATATATTCTGTAGTATCTTTTTTGTTTCTAGAGATTTTTTTCTGAAATTTTAGGTAATTGTCACCCACAAAGTTGTCTCTCAATACAGTGCAGAAAACTCCGTTTCTACCATTTATAAAAAAAATTATATCTGATTTTCTTTTGGGGTCCGCGCGGACCCCAGCCGGCTTTCGATCATAATGGATACATTGGCGTTCTTATACATTACCTTATTTCAGTTTTTATATGTTTTTATGCACCCATCTTATGTCTACCAAGTTTTTAGAGAATGGTGTAGTAATAGAATTAAATTTTAATAACTTTGGTGTAATTATGACGTCATATGACGTCAGAGCTAATAATATAGTCCGCCATATTGGATTTTGACCAATGACGTCATCAAATTAGCATATTCTATGCATATTAAATGATTTAACTTATATTTAATTATGTAAGATGTTATTAATGTTGGAAAAGAAGTGTAAATTAATATAAAACTCAGAAAATTTTTATGTTTAAACCAAAATTACTTCTATTTTGAAAAATAGAAACCCGTTGCCATGGCAACACAAAAAAACATCAACTTACTAGTATCAAACTAATATGAACTTTTTTCCAGAGACATTTTAGGAAAGGTCTCCAAATTTGATACTTCTAGCGCAAGCCGTTTAGCCGCTATCTGAGATCAAAGTTGGGCCTCAAAAGCCCCTTCAGTCTGAAATGGGTTTAAAAATCGGGTATTTCTTCTTGTCTTCTTTTCTTCACCAAAAAATAGAAAAAGTTCAAAATGTATGTTTTTGTTTGTAATGTGGACACAGAGGTTCCCACATCAGTTTGCAAAACAATTGAGCTGGTAGCATGTTGATAATTTCTAAAAATTAGCAAAAAACTGCTCTGGGGTCCGCGCGGACCCCAGGTGTACAGATTAATCAGTCCGGGAAGGTGTACTGTTGAGGGTTAATACAAATTAGACGAATTAATCCTGAATGTTGTAGCCCTGGCGGATTCCTTTCTCAGCTAATTACTTTAACATAAAATCATCTATTTATCCTTCTAGCGGTCTGCACGTTAATAGGAACCCTCATTTACACAGCAACAGGACCGAAGGGCTGGAACATCAACGATCATATCCAGTTTTCCGGAACGGTGTTCGACGGATCCAAGTGGAATTTCGGCTACTCTGTGTTCCTGGCCTGGGCGTCTGTAGTACCGTTACTGGTCGCAGGGTGCGCTCTCTTGTACCAGGCCCGGACTCTCAACAAAGATGTCAGCAATGAATTTGGAATTAAGATGGAAAACTTTGACACACATCACGATATGCATACCATTGAATAGGGTACACTTGGAGAAAGCAATGGGGGAATCCTAGGCAATCCTAAGGTCAGATTTATGGTATGTTGTGTTATTATTCGTTGCGATGGGAAGATGGCAACGATGAGACGGAATTCGACCGGTTTCGCCTTTTTCAGTCTTTATCAAGAATGACAGAGATCGGACCACTCCTCCTTTTATACTTTTACTGTGCCTCTGTAGTGCAGGGGGCTCTGCTCGAGTTTAAGACCAATCAGCATAAGCATCTCAATTTGCCCTGGTTTAGGCTGGATTGCCCTCACCTGATGGTTTGGTTCACTTTGCACTGAGTACTATGCACTACATTGTAGGTAAGGTTGCCATGACGTCAGTTGACCTTCTTTGACCTATGTTATGATATGTTGTGTTAATTACACATTTTTATTTGCCAAGAAATTAAAAAAAAAAAAGTTCACATAGGTATGCTGGTATTGGTATCCTCAATTTCTTGGGTAAATTTGATTAATATCCTCAACTTTTCACTGTTTACAGAAAGCCCTAGAATATATTCTAGCGAATAATAACTCTTCCATTTTGTGAAAAAATAAGAGATCATAACTTCAGACATATAATCGAATTGTGTATAAAAAGAAATTCTGAAGTACTTTTCTGTTCAACAGAATAATCACGCTGGTGAAATTTTGACATCCAGGGTTTCAAACCTAAATGTGTTTTCGCGTGATTGAATAGGTTAGACTTGACAGCCGTCCCATACCCACACTCCCCACACGTGTAGGGTTTCTGTCTAGTATGTTTAAGCAAGTGTTGGATTGAATTACATTTCTGTGCCGCAACGAAGTCTGCAACGAAGGCCCAATGGAGAAAATCTGTCATTTTTAATTAATTAATTCTTTATTGCAGGCACACCACCCATATCAGAACAAACAATTAAAAAATACTGATTCACAAAGACAAGTATAATACAAGTATATACAGAAAATTAAAATACAATGTTATGCATGAGGTTAAAATACAATGTTATGGAAATCTAATTGACGGGCTGTTTGAATACCAGATTGACGTAAGTCGTGTTTAAGTGAAATCACCCAAACCGCGATTCCTCACATCTGGTGAAACCGTGTCCGATCACAATTCGCTTGAGCTACATTTATTATTATTTGATGAAAACACGCAAGGTATGCGTGTTATTAATATCAGAGGTCAACGACCTGCTTGCTGATGCCCCCTCCCAGCGTATCTCGGCCGAATGCCGACGTAGTCCCGCCAGAGGCGGTGAAGCTCGCCCTAGAACGGACACATTATTTGACCATTACTGCTCTTTAAGTTGCTGCCACCGTAAAAAATTGGTATTGCGTATAAATAAAGAAATATCACCCCGTAATCCATGACCAAGCGAAGTTACATTGAAATCACATTGCGTTCAGACGCAAATCGCGATGCGGGAAAACCGATTCGAAACCACCTCTAGAAGTGGCTTGAGATCGAGGCGCTTTCAATGTGATTTCGGAGCGTTCAGATGGAGCCACTTGAAACCGGCGTCGGGGTAAACCACATGTAAACCGCCTTGAGTGATTTCACTTAAACACGGCTGTAGTGTTTCCAGAAGTTGTTAATGGAGAATATGTCAGAGTAAATTACCAGTTTTATGAGACTGTTGTTTAAGTTGAGCAGGCGCGTGACAAAATAATGTGTTACCTTTATCCTGCGGGATTCAAAAGTGTCAACTGAAGCTGAAACAAACATATGACTACCACTATCATATTTAGTAAAGGCGGACAAAATTCTGAAAGCGTTGTTGTATGCGACACGTAGGTTACGAATTGTACCCAGCGTGTATTCAGACCACAACTGAGTACAGTGCATTAGAGAGCAATAAGCATTGAACTCTCTTCCAAGCAGTTGCTTTCCGTCCGACTACAATCCACAAAGCTTCAAAACAATGGTTCACCGCCATCTCCTGACATAACTACATTATACTCACTTTAGTACCTCTAGCTCAATGCCTAGAAGTGGCCAAAAATAATTGGCCTTGCATTGAGCGACACCGTTAAAAAAAGAACAGAGTGCGCTTCACTTCAGCTGTCAGTATTTCATAATTCTTTAGGGCACATGATGAAGGGGAGCCCACCTGTTAATACGTATATTAACATGGTGACTGTGATGACTCACCTGCACGACAGGTTCACAGAACTCGTAGTTCTCCCCCGCAAACCATCTATCTAAGTCTGTGTACACTTTTCTCTCTGTCGGGTTAACTTGTTGAAGCTTCCGACATAAATTACACCAACCGCCATAATCGTCGGGATATATACTCTTTGGAGGTTGTGTCCTCCATCTGAAGTACTCATTGTACTTTTCTATGTCTTTGTCAAGGATCTTTAAGTAATCTGCTAAGTCCTTAGGCGTCTCAAAGTCATCTACATGAATAAACGAACCGGGAGGAGCGAATTTCTCATAATCGGCCTTCGGTGCTCCTAACACTACTGGAACAACTTCATTGGCAATGGCATTCCTCCAGAATTTCTCTGTGATGTACTCCTTACATTTGTAGCTTTCGAAGGACAGGTAGAACTTGTATTGTTTGATGACTTGGTCTGAGCAGTTGTATTGGTCTTTACCATGTCCTAGACACACCAATTTACCGCATTTACCAAACACATCCACACTTATGTGTTTTACTAGTTCCGTCGCGTATATAAAACGAGGAAGATATTTGTAACAATTACTGACGAACCACACCACTAAATATTTCTTCCCTACAGTATAGTCCTTGTCAGGAGAAATGTCCATTTTTGCCAGCCTTTTGTAGATGAGGCTAACGGAGCCATAGTTGATTAAGACATCCGAGTCATTTCTGTAAGTCATGGTCCAGTTAAAAACGCCACTGTAGGATACTAGATCGATAACATTAGGGTTGTTCGGACATTCGCCGATGACCCAGACCCAGTATTGGTGCGGAGGTCGTATTTGCGGCATAACGCGTTTGGAATAAACTTTCGGAAGGTCATGGAAGAGAACAGCGTCTGCCTTGTCAAGCTGGCTGATATTTCCTGTGACGACGCACTCTGGCATGGAGGGGCAGTAGAAACGGCCCTTCTGGACTCCCGTCAGGCGACGGCCTCCCCATTTTCTCCAGATGACAATGAGCTTGTCATTCTGTATAGGAGAACTAGCTTCAGATTCGCTGTGCCACACAGAGTAGTGCTTCGACCTGGGTTTCAACAAAATTGAATGTGTCATGCAAAGAGTCACCCTACTCAGCAATCTACAGAACTTGGTAGGCTCTATTTTTGATGTACACAATATGTCTGAACAATTCCTGTAAAATTTGATTTAGAGGATCACCCGATTTACACCCAGATACAAATTGTAACATTTTGACAATCACCCAAACTTACGTTAGGCCATGTTGATTTGATAATATGGATGACATCCTCTGGGAACCCCAAAACTGATGCGCGCGTGCGAATAAAAAAAAGTTTTGCAAAAAAAAAGTTGCTTTCACTATGAAATCTACGTGGTCATGAAGGTTGAACAAACGGCACAGAATATGTTATAGCGAATAATTTACTCTTCGAATTCATTTCTTTACATTTTTGTCTTTTTTCCTTTGATTTTGGCATTCTACGACATTGGTATCGTTTCTAAATGTTTTCCTTGCAACTTATGGTATATTTTTGCTCATTTAGCAACTGTTTTGCACGATTTACAGTATGGTTGAAAACCTTTTTTTTTGGAAACGGCCGAAAATTCATGTGCGCGCGGATTTCATCCATATAATCAAATCAACATGGCCTTATTGATACTAAACGGTTTGTAGTAGAAGCATCGCCTACAAAACATGTTCTTCCTTACCATTTATTGATCCATTTCTACCCATTTGCCGTTCTCTGTTGTATTTTGTGATGTATTGTCACTGTATACTTATTTGTTTGGTTATGAAGTTAAAATTAGCTATAGCTAGAGTACCTCACCACCATGTCTTGTATTGTCCATGTTGAATTGCAAAAAAAAAAGTGGTGACCTTTGTTAACTGAAATTCCAATCGGAATGTATATATAATATATATATATATACATATATACCCAAATCACATGCTACAATTATGGTACTTCAATATCAATAATTAAGTCCTTTGCTTGCAAATTTAATAGCGTCATTAGCGTCCCTTCCATAAGAATATCATATTGCAAGTTTTGGTACAAAACGTACAGAATTTTTGCCAAATGGAAATCGATCTGGAGCCATTGATATATTCATTGATAAATACGTATTACCTGTTGCCGATCTTCTGGTATACTTTTTGTGGCCCTGATGAGGAAAGTGGCAGCTTATTTTCAATAACGACTGTTGACAAATAAATGCTGACTCCTCCACAGGCCAGAATAGCCACGAACAATGCTCGTATCCTCATTCTCCTAAACACCTAGATAGATAAAAGAAGACAGAAAACATACCTCATCAATAAACATGACCCGCCCCGAGGTGAATATGGTGTGATAAAGCATTGCCAGTTGCTATAACCACCGAATAAAGCCACCAAGTGAGCGCATGTTTAGATTTTGGGCCTGCTGACGGCTTGTTATGGTACTGCAGCTGAACTTCCAATTTCTTTTTTATATTTCACGACCTTGACATGCTATGGTCAAAAAATTTTGTTTGGTAGATAGCTCTTTTGCTCTGGAAGAAGTGACCTGGCTTTGGCCCCCTTGGCAAGCTTGTTCTGGAACTGCAGGGACATTTGTTGAAGATTATTTCAAGGGGGATAACTCAACATTCAATCGTAGTCATTTTTTGGTATGTAGGTAGCAATGTAAATTTCAATGAGATGCATAACCTACCAATTGTAGCTAATTTGCGAAGGTATGATGTCGTGGAACTCTAGTTGTAGTTAGTTAGTGGTATTAAAAGAATCCTTATCTGCTATAATTTGGAACTTTAATTTTTCGAAATAGGTCTCCAAAATCAACTGGAACCATAGCGCCTGGACTGTTTGTAGTACACAGGCAACCGTTTCACAGACATCCGTCAATCTGACCCCGCCGTTTGAACTATAAACTATGCCCTAAGCGCACAAATATTTTCTGTCCGTTGTTTACCAGTTTAGAGCATGTCCCTGTTGACTAAGAAGGACTGGATGTTCTTATGATAGATTATCTGAGTAGTTGTCAAATGCATTATGCATGCATGAATGAATGAATGAATGAATGAGTAGACTCGTGTATGTCAATAGATATAGGCAGCATATTATGTTATGACTTATTGATACAGGAACAATGCTTTTATCTCCTTTAACTGCCTGAATTGTATGCAACAATGGCGTATTACAGGTCAGCAATGCAATATGGCACCTATATATTATGCTTTGTGGATGTGAAACTTGCAGCTCTTTTAAGTCGTTAATGCACGAAAATCTGTTTAACGATCTAGAATTCCATCGAAAGAATGTTATCGTCATGTTGGCTCTTTTGCATCTGTGGTAGAATAAAGGACCACAAACTGAACAAATTTTAACATAGAAGCCAGATCACTGTCCGTCCGTCGTGGGTCAGTAATTCAAGCCCCTTGGATGTAACATCCGTGTCCATAATATCACCAGGGTCCATAATATCGCCACCTTGAGAAATAATGTGCTTAAAGATATTTATACTGCAACATACCCTAGGTATGTACATTTGAGGTGTGCAGGAGTGCATACCAAAAGTATGTTGCAGTAGAAATATCTTAAAGCACACTATTTCTCAAGGTGGCGACATTATGGACCCTGGTGATATTATGGACACGGATCTTAGGTCTCGAACACGACAATGACAAAGCCAATGATAGACATTCATACTCTCAAAGCAGAGGTTTGGGTTTCGGGTTATGTTTGGCGTGTTTTTAGCCTTCCAGTTTTTCAACTGGAATTTTTCTTTCACCCAACCCAAATGTGAAACGTGACAGTGCTCCTCCCCGGGAACCACCAAATTATCATTAGGGATATCCATTTTACTGTGGTGGATTATCACACATCTAGCCGGTCAGAAAGGCATTCATTTGGCCACACGCCTCCTGCTGCCTATTCATGCGTCCGGTTCGCACCTACTTGTAGAACGACCGTAATGTGTTGAAGTGATTAGGTTTGTGGCACATTGAAGCTTTCGACTGCCGACAGAGGTTGGGTTGGGTGAAAGAAAAATTACAGTGCAAAAATGAATCCCCCAAAAAGGGTTAAAACACGCCATGAATAACCCAAAACCCAAACCTCTGCTTGGAGAGTAGAGTAGAGAGAAGGCATTCAATGGTTAAGAAGTATAAACTGTACGTACCGACTAGTTCCAGTAGTACGGTAGCCCTGGAGTACAATGTAGGTGTAAAGTGACTGTCAGTAGGGCCAGTAATGCTCCTATGTCATGTGGTTGTTGTGGAAGTTGGACTGTGACGTGGTCTGTTTTGATCACAGATTCGCACACATCCTGTTCAAGACAGTATGTATGGCTTAGGCCATAACAAGTAAATTTTATACATGCCATCCTCCGCAGACTCAAAATCTAATTGCGATAGGGCGAAAAAAAAACAGGCCGGCCATAAAAATAAGATTCCTACATCTTCAAATTTTGACATCATAAACCTTGTTAAAAACAAATGGTACCTATATTGTATACCTATACCTATAAGTTTACTGCCCACTATTACAACATCCATTTCTCACTGAAACAACTTTGAAATAAACGTTTTCAATCATTATAGAAATGGGTTTTAATACAGTGGGAATCGTAACATATTTTATTATACAACCCCTGTCCTGATGGCATTTTTACACGCTTTGCGGAAGGTCATGGAACTGCAGCAAACGCACAGCACTGGGCAGTAACAGTGTCAAGGCGCAAATCTACGCTTACCGAACAAACATCAAAAGTCAACTTTTAAGATCTCAAACCTGACGTTTTCCTTTGCCATTCACCACAGTAGCCACATCACTGCCGTAAACACAGAAATCTATGTGCCTGTCTCAAGTGCTAATATATGCCGATCTACTTTGTGCCCGTACTACTTTTAACTACGGGGTTCGCTCATAAATACTGTGTGCTGCGACCTTATCTCAAATGAGAATTTAAGGTTCCGGGTCGGAGTTTAAATCTGAGTAAGGTAGCAGAACACAGTATTAATTGGCGACCCGCAGGTCTATGACACGAGTATAGAAAGTACTTAGTAGTACAGAAGTAGTACCGACGAGTACCCTGCTGCATTGAGCCACCACATCATGTCTTGTATATAATATTATGTAACTATTACTAACGCACTAATGCACTTGTCCCGTCTTTAGCACACATAAAATCAGTTGTTTTTATGTTTCCTTCTCAGTTATCCTTGTTTTCCCTTTGTGTTTTATGTACCGGGTCACAATTGTAATTAACAAAGCGTAACGACTGCCAATAATTCTACACTGTAGAGCTGGGCAGTAACGAAGAAGAAGAAGGTATCAACGTTGAAAATCATATGTTTTTTAAAGAAATGCCGCTACAATGGCACAATATGAACAACATACATGTTTTCCGGATCGACAGAAATGACAAATACACTGTGTGAGCTTACCGCTGCAAGCCATCGGTTTTTCTGTAATCTGAGGGTGGCCATGGTGAAGCTCAACTGCGGGAGCAAAGAGGGAAAAGGGCATGAATAAATTGAACCCATTTCCTGTCATTTCTGATTGTACAATCTGCGATTTATGTTCAGTGTATATCATACATGCATGCACATTTAGGTTTTAATGGCAAGCACATGTACAGACAATTAAAATGCTGTCAGGAGTTATCGGGATGTAAAAGATAGGACTGTCCTATAATGCTATATTTCAACTATGAGTTAGTAGCGACAGCTTGGTTAAATTTGTTGCATCAGAGTTGAAAATTTGACAGAAAATAAATGGATCCAGGTATGCTCAGATCAAAGGTGTAAGGCGTGTAAGTTCATAAAACCTGTTACGTCTGTGTCATGATATCGATTATCCTTAGCTTTGTTATTTCATAAGGGCCACACCTCCTTAATTTTATGCATAACATCCGCGCGCGCATTGGTTTTCGCCTGTTCTAAAACAAGTGCTATTAAAGAAAGCTGACATTTCAGCTGACGAAGGTTTTACTGCCGTTATTGAGGTAGAAGTTGTTGAAATGATATTACCCAAGTTGATGAAATTGGTACGAGACCACTTAAAGAAGGAAACACATCTGATAAAAAAAAGCAAAACAGCGGATGTTAAA